TTGCTTTCTCCACCTGGAGCAGGAGGCACGACCCTCACCTCAGAACCTCTGGATCTGAGGGCCCAGGGCACCAGGATGCAGGAGGGCAGACAGACCAAGTGAGCTGGGCGGAGTCAGCAGGGACCCAGTGCCTCTGTTCACGGACCGTGTGCGGGAGGATGAAATGAGGCAGTCTCCGGTCCTGGGCTCAGTGAGCGCACACAGCAGGTGGAGACCCCCAGGCAGGGCGTTGCTGTCCAGATGGATGTGTGGCACGGTGGGTTACTACTTGCTCTCTGCCTGCCAGAATCCTGTAGCAGCCGGGTGTGAGCGCCAGGCCTGCATCAGTACTGTCCAGAGTGTGAGGTTGAGATCTCGACTCTGGAAGGTGGAAAATCATGTAAGCACCCCATCTGGGTGCTGGTTCGAGTCCTGGCTGCTCCCCTTCAATCCAGCTCTGCTGATGGCCTGGGAAAGCAGCAGAATGGCCTGAGCCTGCGGGCCCCTGCACCCACACAGGAGACCCAGAACCAGCTCCTGGCTCCTGGTTTCAGATTGGCCCAGCTCCTGCTGTTGTGGCCGTTTGAGGAGTGACCACCAGGATGGAAGACCTTGCGCTCTGTCTCCTTCCCTCTCTCTGACCAGAGAGGCAAATGAACTTTTTTTTTTTTTAAAGATTTATGGGGCCGGCACTGTGGTATAGCAGTTAAAGCCACCGCATGCAGTGCCGGCATCCCATATGGACACCTGTTCGAGTTCCAGCTGCTCCACTTCCAAACCAGGTCTCTGTTATAGCCTGCGAAAGCAGTAGAAGATGGCCCAAGTCCTTGGGCCCCTGCACCCGTGTGGAAACCCTGGAAGAAGCTCCTGGCTTCAGATTGGCCATTGCAGTCATTTGGGTGGTGAACCAGCTGGTGGGAGATACCCCCCCCCACCTCTGCCTTTCAAATAAATAAGTAAATCTTTAATAAAAAAATACAGGCACTGGCGCCATGGCTCACTTGGTTAATTCTCCGCCTGTGGCACTGCCATCCCATATGGGCTCTGGGTTCTAGTCCTGGTTGCCCCTCTTCCAGCTCTCTGCTGTGGCCCGGGAGTGCAGTGGAGGATGGCCCAAGTGCTTGGGCCCCTGTACCTGCATGGGACACCAGGAGGAAGCACCTGGCTCCTGGCTTTGGTTTGGCGCAGCGCCGGCCGTAGATGCTATTGGGGGGGGGGGGGCGAACCAACGGAAGGAAGACCTTTCTGTCTCTCTCTGTCTCACTCACTGTCTAACTCTGTCAAAAAAATACATTTGTGAGTCAGAGAAAGCTTTTGCCCACTGGTTTGCTGCCCAAATCCCTGAAATAAGGAACTTAATCAAGATCTTCTATGTGGGTGGCAGACACCTAGCTACTTGAGCCACCGCCACCTGCCTCCCAAGGTGCACGTCTGCTGGAGTCTGGAGCAGGGCCAGGCTGTGGCCCAGACACTCTGACATGCGCTGCTGGCGTCCCATGCAGCATCTTTACTGCTGTGCCAAATGCCTGCCCGCCTCCCCCGAACGTACGCCGGATCAGTTGTAGATGGATTTTCCTAACATCTGTGGTGAACGTTCCAATACACAGGATTTTATTTTACAGCAAGTGCCAGCCTGCATACACAGCCCAGGCTGTGGCATTGACAGTGCAGCTGTGACTGTTTCATGCATGAGTCAACCCATCTCTGATCTTGTTCTTTCACTTCACTGTTCTGATGCGTTTCAAGTTGAGTAGCAGAAAGAGGTAGTCTCATCTCTGCGTAGTACCCTGATCTCAGTGCTCATTACAGATCTTTTCCTTTTCAAGTAGTACGCAAAGCTTGAGTGTGCCGGTCAGTGGTGTTGTCCATAACGGTACCCAGGCCTGTCGGGAGGTAGCCTGATCATCACCCTGGCGGCCACCACTGTTTTTCCTTCCGGGGATTGATTTTGCCTGCTCTGAAGCTCCGTATCAGTGAGGAGTTGCTCATTGTGATTCTGTAGTCCCAGGTGTCCCAGGGAAGCCCTCACGGGTCAACTTCCGTGTCCTGGGGACAAGCCTGCCTTCTCCTCCTGACTTGGCCTGTGACTCTGGCTCTTCTGGGACATGTTCTGCAGAGGCAGAAGGCACGCGCAGTGGGGGTGGGGAGGTCCTTCCATCCACTGGTTTATTCTCCAAATGACTGTAGCAGCCAGAGCTGGGCCACTCTGAAGCCAGGAGCCAAGAGCTTCCTCCTGGTCTCCCATGCAGGTGCAGGGGACCAAGGACTTGGGTCATCTTCCACTGCTTTCACAGGCCATAGCAGAGAGCTGGATCAGAAGTGGAGCAGCTGAGACCCGAGCTGGCTTCCATATGGAATGCTGGCACTGCATCTGGCAGCTTAACCCACTGTGCTACAGAGTGCCAGCCCCACGGTTTATTTATTTATTTGAAAGTCAGTTATACAGAGAGAGAAGGAGCGGCAGAGAGAGAGAAAGGGAGGTCTTCTATCCACTGATTCACTCCGCAGATGGCTGTGCAATGGCCAGAACTGTGCTGATCCAAATCCAGGAGCCAGGAGCTTCTTCCGGGTCTCCCACATGGGTGTAGGGCCATCTTCTACTTCTTCCCCAGGTCAAAGCAGAGAGCTAGATTGGAAGAGGAACAGCTGGAACTAGAATCAGCACCCATACAGGATGCCGGCACCACAGGTGGAGGATTATCCTAATGCGCCACAGCACCGGCCCCTATTTATTTTTAAATGTTTATTTTCATCTACTTGAAAGGCATCTTCTGGTTTGCTCTCAAGATGCTCACAGCAGCCAGGGCTGGGCCAGGCTGAAGCCAGGAGCCAGGAACTCCATCCGGTCTCCCACGTGCGTGGCAGGTGCCCAAGCACAGGCACTTGTGGCATCATCTACTGGCTTCAGGCTGCACTGGCAGGGAGCTGGGTTGGATGTGGAGGTTCTCGGCCTTGAACTGCCGCTGCACTCTGGGCTGTGGGTGTCTCATGCAGTAGCCCAGTCCCTGGCTTACTTCTTAGGTTGCTTGCACTAGTGAACTTTGTGAAAGTGCCTGCGTGGTGTGGATCCACGTGGACCCCACATGGCTGATCCGGTTTCCTGCTCTCCCCCTCCCCTCACTGGAGGATTTTAGAGCAGACACCGGGCGTAGGGTTTCAGGCACTGCTGTACCCGAGACACGCATCCCACAGATGGACGCCGTTGTCAGACCCAGCCACAGCGTGGTGCGCCCCTAGCGGCACTGCACCGTGGTTCCTCTGGGCAGGGGCGTGCGTTGGCCTGTGCGTCAGGTCACTCTGTAAGTAGTCCTCATGGCAGCCTGGTCCTGCGGATCCTCTTGGGGCTTGTGGTCAGCACCAATTTTTTTTTTTTAAGATTTTAATTTATTTGAAAAGGTTGGAGATTTTCTGTCTGCTGGTTCATTCCCCAAAGGGCCAAGGCCCTGAGCCAGGAACTCCACTGGTCTCCCACCAGGATGGCCTTGGGCCATCCTCTGCCACTTTCCCAGGTGCAATAGCAGGGACTTGGATTAGAAGTGGAGCAGCCGAGACTCAAAACTGGTGCTTATATGGGATGCTAGCCTTGAAGGCGGTGGCTTACTCCACTGGGCCACAGTTCTGGCCCCAAGGTTTACATTTTTAAGGGTCTGTGGATTTATGCCACATGCTCTCCTCGGGACTAGTTTAATTTTCAGAGTTCCCCGTGGAGGGTAGCTGTGATGCCTCCAAGTTGCAGGTGCTCCATGGATAACATCCACCTGCTGGTTCGCTCCCCAGTTGGCCTCAGTGGCGGGAGCTGTGCGGATCCTGAGCCAGGAGTAGGAGCTTCCTCCGGGTCTTCCCATGCTGGTGCAGAGACCCAAGCACTTGGGCCATCTTCTGCTGCTTTCCCAGGCCACAGCAGAGATGGGGATCGGAAGTGGAGCAGCTGGGACTTGAACCAGCTCCCATATGGTATGCCAGCCCCGATCTGTAGGACTTAAGGGCGAACCTTGGATCTTTACCGTGCATAGTTACAGTTGTTGGCTAACCTGAGGCCCGTGGGAACTTCCAGTTTTGGCCAGTCACGTCAGGTAGTCCTTGCAGCCTGTGCCTTTCCGGGGTTTGAGCCAGCTGTGGGCAGTGGGGGTGGGGTAGCCTGTTTCATGATAGGCTGATGAATTGTGCTGTTTGGCTGTGTGGAAGGTTTCAGTATGGACCAGAGTGCTTGTGCAGAGTGGGAATCAAGTGGGCTGTAGTCAGCATGTTATTTAGAGACCAGAATTGCAGTTACAGTCACTTTGGTCCTGTCTTGTCACTCACTTGAGTTGTCTCCTGCTCGCCAGGGGTGGGCCACAGGGAATGTCGGCTGCGGCTGTGTGTCTGCCTGGCGTTTCAGGTGCTAGCTTCGCAGAAGGCTCTTACCTTCTGCTCGGCGGAGTTTGGGCATTGTCTGCAAGTGCTTTTATTTATTTGAATGATAGCTAGCCTCCGTTCTCGGATTCCCTCACTCCTCAGACGCCTGCAGCAGCAGGGCTGGGAGCTCCATCCGGGTCTCCCATGTGGGCACCATCACCAGCTGCCCCCCAGACTGTGCACTAGCGGGAAGCCGGCTTGCCAGTGGAGTGGCTGGGACTCAGACTAGCACGCTAGTGTTGGTTGCCGGCATTCTGAGCAGTGGCTCAACCCCTGTGCCAGGCTCCAGGGTTTATGGACATGACTACCTGTAGCAGTGTTTGGCTGCTTTCTTAGGTTTTTGATCTGTGTAAAACTTGATACACTTTATATGAAGAAATGAAAGGTAGAAGGTGAAACTGTCTGAGTGTGGGCCTGGCTTCTTGGACCAACCGTGTTCATTTTAAAGGAATTTCACAGTTACCGGCTCAGGGGTGTTGGCCCAGCAGTGCTCCCTTGGAGATAGTCCTGATGTGCTCACAGCCCTTCTGCAGGCAGCGCCGGGTCACGGTTCCCGCGGAGTATCTAGTGCAAAGTCATCGCGTCTACGAAATACGTGAAACTAAAAGGATTTTCTGGTCTTGTAGATAGTTGAAGTGTTGGTAACGCCAGGGGACTGTTACAATCTGAAAAGCAAAGCTTGATTTCCAGACACTACAGGAAAAGAAGTGAAAATGGTAAGAAGTTGTTATTTTCTTAAATCACAGATGGTATTTTCTTTCTTCCTTCCTTGTGCTGGTAGCATTTACCCAAAGCATTTGGTTATGTTGGTTTTCGTTAGGCTATTCAGACTAGACAGTAATATGCATGAGAACAGCGCAGTCACAGTAGTTCTGCTTATCCACACTGTGGCTTTCTGTAGTGTCATTCACCCGTCACAACCGGGATCCACGAACGCCACAGGAAGACTCCGCGGATAAAGCATTCATGCATTCCACACAGCACGGCCTGACGCCTTTCAGCTCTGTCTCACTGGAGACATGCGTCTAAGCTCCACTGCACTGCCTCCCTACGGTTCCTCTAATGGATTTTCAGCTGCAGTTAATCGCTTACTGTGCCCAATTTATCATGCATGTGTGTGTAGAGGAAAACATGTGCAGTGGGCCCTGTGCGCAGTGGCAGGTCCCTCCCATGGGTCTGCTGTGGTCTAGAGCCGCAGAGCGGGCGGCCCCGGTCTCGGCCGTGTTCAGGTCATCTCACTGTTACACGGATGTAGAGTACAACTTCCAATTTCTAGCTTAAAAGATACATGGTGGGTGGCTGCCTGGTCTCTTTTCCATCATTTTTAGCTTAGTTTTCACATTTCCAGCGCCCAATGCGAATTTTTGTGAACGATGATCGCCACGTGATGGCGAAGCACTCTTCAGTTTATCCAACACAAGAGGAGCTGGAGGCTGTGCAGAACATGGTGTCCCACGCCGAGCGGGCCCTCAAAGCCGTGTCTGACTGGATCGACGAGCAGGAGAAAGGCAGCGGCGACCAGGCTGAAGCCGACAACGTGGACGTGCCGGCTGAGGACGAGAACAAAGAAGGGGCTGGGTAGGTCCGAGTGGGAGCAGGATGTCTTCTCTCTGGGGACCAGAGCTCCCTAGAGAGCGGCCTCTTCGTCCTGGGGCTCCGGCTTGTGGTCCGGCTGACCCCTCACGGAGCTGTGCTTTGCCCCACCCCACAGGGAGCAGAAGACGGAGCACATGACCAGAACCCTGCGGGGCGTCATGCGGGTCGGCCTTGTAGCCAAGGGTCTCCTGCTCAAGGGGGACCTGGATCTGGAGCTGGTGCTGCTCTGTAAGGAGAAGCCCACGGCGGCCCTCTTGGACAAGGTGGCTGACAACCTGGCCATCCAGCTCGCTGTGAGTGTCGGCGGCGTGGGCGGGGCAGGGCTGCTTGTCAGGATGTGGGGAGGAGGCCCAGAGGCCCTGTCGGTGCTGTGCACCAGGAAGCAGGCTGCTCTTGCACGTGCTGTGCGTGTGTCACTCCACTGGTGACTGGCAGGGTGCCAAGGCCCCTGAGGTTCCGTGGGAAGCTGCCTCAGTGGCACCCAGATGTGCCACCAGCTGGTGTGGACCAGTGGACAGAAAAGCCTCGCTCTGTTGGGTGGTTAGATGCTCTTCCCTGAGCCAGACATGCACAGACAGAGAAATGTAGGAAAACCCATCAGTCGTTTCGTTATGAAGTGCTGTGTAAGTGGTGGCCTCTGGCACGTGCTGAGTGTTCGCTGCAGCAGACGCTAGGCCCGGGGAGTTGGCGCATGTACTGTCTGGCCTTTGGGTGTTAGGGACCGTGGCGCTGAGAGCAGGCCAGCTGCGTTGGTGCCCCTGCACCCCCGCCTGAAGACTCAGAGGCAGCAGAACCTCTGCCTCCCAGCTGGGCTGCTGTGTCCTCAGGATGTGGTCACCCGGGGTCCAGGATAGGCAAAGGAGGAGGACACGCAGGTCTCACTCCTAGACAGGAAACAGTGCACGGCCACGTCCGGAAGTCCGTTCTGTCACATGGGACTTGGAGAGTTGTGAATGTAGGGTTCAGGACAGAGAATTGAAATGTGCAGAGAGAGTGATGTTGAGTGTTTCTGCGGAAGCCCTCGCGTTTTCCTTTCTGATGATAGTTCTTTTATGTATAAAAAAGTAAAGTAAGTGGGTATGAATATTGTTAAGGAAAAAAACTTGTATAAAGAGACATTTCTTTAAAGAGAGAATATTGGTATCAGTTTAGATTAGCAATTTTGTCAGAGTCACTCCCCCGATGGGACATGACTGTATCCGGAGACCAGCGGGAGTGCCGTGCTGCCAGCGCCTGGCGGGGCACGCGTGCTGCTCGGTGCCTTGGACGCCCAAAACAGGGACTCTCACCCACAAATTACCCAGCCCGAGCCGGCCACGCAGAGGTTGGAAATCCTGGTACAGGTTTTCCTTTTGATCGACTGCTCCACAGTGTGACATTTAGTTTGTGTCTGCCAACAAAAAATAAGCAAAGCTTTGGTTTCCTTTTTCAAGTCATAAACGGGTACGAAGAACACAGAAGGCAGACTGCCATGGCCGCCTGTAGACGTGTTTGTAGCAAGCACGTGCTCTGCCATGCCTGGTGCATGTTCCGTGCTGTCTGGTGGGCGCTCAGACCAGCGGGGAATTGGTGGGGGCTGGACACCCGCTCTGGTGAGTGCTGTGCTGCCTTCATGGCATCTGGTGCACGCTCCGGCCACTCTCGCACCCATTAAGTGCATTTTACAAATTACCAAGCTTGAACTGGCTTTTATATGTGCATTTGTTTTTCTGTTGGAGAGAGAGCAACTCATCCGTCGGGTCACGTCCCAGACGCCTGCAGCAGCCCAGCAGGGCCTGCAGCTGGGAGCTGGGCATCGAGTCCTGATGTCCGTGAGTGCCAGGAATCCAGGCCACTGGAGTCCTTCTCACTGCCTCCACGCCTTCACAAGCAGGAAGCTTAGCCGGGCCCTCTGTGGACACTGGTGTCTTAACCTCTAGCACAGTGCCTGCCTCCTTCAAGCTTCCTGAAATTGATTGGTCCAGAGGGTGGAAGAAGTCCTCCGCTCCAGTCCCCAGTCACAGACTTCCCTGTAGCATTACAGAGCTTTCCTTGGAAATCATTTTGCGTTAGAGTATCCAGAGGCGGACTTGGCTGGCTAGGTGGGCGCCCTCCCTGGTGGGGCGCACACCCCCGGAGGTGCTTGCCTGCCCCGGGAGCTGGCGGAGCCGTGCAGAGGGGGATGCTGAAGTTGCCTTTTCCTTTCCAGGCCGTGACAGAAGACAAGTATGAGATCCTGCAGTCTGTGGACGATGCTGCAATTGTGATAAAAAACACAAAAGAGCCTCCATTGTCCTTGACTATCCACCTGACTTCCCCCGTGGTCAGAGAAGAGATGGAGAAAGTATTAGCTGGAGGTAGGGGCCGAGGCAGGCCGGCAGGACGTTGGAAACTTGGTGTTTCCTCGCTTCGGATGTGCGGTTCAGTGTTAGAGCGCTTTGCTTACCGGCTGAAGAGGTTTCACCACCCGATTGTCAGGTCGCGTCTCCCTGGCCTTGAGCCCTGGGAGTAAGTAGCACTTTGCCAGGGTGCGCACCATTCTTGATGCCTTAATCTTGAATGTTCTCGAGCATTAGCACTTGAACGTAGTTCTCTGTTGAGCCATTTTCTGGCCTTGATGCAGTGTCCTTTGCGACGCTGGGGTTTTTCCATGGCTGGAGACAACCCGACAACATCTGCGTGAGCTACAGGAGCCACGCAAGCGGCTGTGCTGCGGCAGAACCGAGGGCGGCCTCCTCTGTCCTCTCCCTGGGCGCTTCTTCCGGTGCAAGCTGGAACGCGGAGCCCGGACTCCTGGGTAGAGTCGCAAGCAGGTGTCCTGTTTTTCCCCGGATCTCTGCACCTCGGTTGCATCCCCTGGTGTGGCTTCCCAGGCCTGCGCAGGGAGTCGAAGTGCTCGGTTGTGCCGCAGCATAGGCCGACCTCGCGCCTCGTTTGTTTGATGGCCGGCGATTCTCAGGCCCGATTCCAACTGCTGAAGCCCTCCTACTTGACCAGTTAGGGACGCTGGACCTTTGACCAACAGGACTCTCTCTGTCAAGGGCTGGGGCTAGGGCAGGCCCACGTGGTGGGCGGAGGTGGTCCGTTTTGCCGCAGACACCTTGGCTCGGCTGCCGTGGGAAACAGAGGGAGTTCATTTCCACTCCCCTCTACGTACGTTTTGGTTTTTTTCCTGTTGAAAATGTTAGCATAGCTAATGCTGGGGAGGAAGCGAGGAACAGTCTGCTAGAAGCCAGGCTCCACCTGGCGTTCCCTCCCCGGGAGCTCCCTCCTTTCAGCACAGCCCCCACCTTTGTTCCGGGGTTGTGTTTCTGCTTGTGGAGGGGCCTCCGATTTTTATGCTTTCCCCTCAGGGCAGAGTTGAACACACGCTGGTGTGTCTGTCCCTGGTCGGGGTGGAGATGAATTCAGAGTGGGGGACAGTCAGCTGCCACACCCCCTTTCCACCTGACAGAAACCCCTTGGTCAAACTGTGCCTTGTCTTCTTATTCCGCCCACGAATAGAAACGCTATCAGTCAACGACCCCCCGGACGTTCTGGACAGGCAGAAATGCCTTGCTGCCTTGGCGTCCCTGCGCCACGCCAAGTGGTTCCAGGTTTGCATTTTGTTCTTCTCTTTGTCTTTCCATAGAGCACTCCTCAGTTTTAACTCTGCTCCCTGTTGTTACCTTAACGTTCCTTTAACATGGACGGTGGCCGTGCCGGCGCTCGGCGCCTGAGCAGATGTGACCCCCCCCGCCCCCAGCAGGCTTGTGCCCGAGCAGGTGGGCTGCTGCTGCTTTGCCTTAAGAGTAACACTGTTCTCCCGCGTGCGGCGGTGGCTTGTCACTGCAACCACACACTTGGTGGTCACGAGAGCTGGCCACTTACCCTTGGCAAAGCAGCCCTGAGAGATGTGTTTGTCACCTTTGCTGTGGATCTCGGGCGGTGCCTTGGTGTAAAGCCGTCTGTGCTTCCTCCCTTCAGGCCAGAGCCAACGGGCTGAAGTCCTGTGTCATTGTCATCCGGGTCCTGAGGGACCTGTGCACCCGAGTGCCCACCTGGGGTCCTCTCAGAGGATGGGTAAGGCAGCTGTGGCCTCTGGGGAGGGGATGCAGAGACCTCCAGTCCCAAACCAGGAAACTTGGCCCCGCTAGCTGTGTCCTGTGTGCACCCTGGTTGGGCAGCTTGTGGTCCATGCTGTGGGTTGGGCCAGCAATGAGACAAGGACCCTGTGAGGGGTGAGGGTAGGGGCAGGCAGCAAAGCAAGGCCTGGGGTCAGCCCTCCTGTTCTCACCCAGACAGCTTTAGGAGCGGTTAGTGTGGATTAACATGGCTACATGTCAAACATAAGTACCTCTGTTGTGACCTCAACGTGGCCTGTGGGCCTGAAAGATCTTGTGTCTGGCCCTGCCTGTCACCTCCTTGGGTGTCCTGGCTTCAGCCTCGTCCCAAGGCTTGGGCTTGGACGTGACTGGGCACCCAGTGACCAGTGCCTCTGCCCCCAGCACACAGACTGACTTGTCATTGCTCCCCCACCCCCGCCCCCGCGCGCCCGCGGCACCTCACTGTCCCTCTTTGCCTTGCAGCCTCTGGAGCTCCTGTGCGAGAAGTCCATCGGCACAGCCAACAGACCCATGGGTGCCGGCGAGGCCCTGCGGAGGGTGCTGGAGTGCCTGGCGTCAGGCATCGTGATGCCAGGTTGGGGCCTTGTGCTTTGCAGGTTACAGGGAGAGACAGGGACTGAGGCCCTGAGGCCGCCCCTCGCTGGTCCACTGACTGGGTTAGGGCAGCAGCAGCTCCCGTCACCCCTAGGGCCGAAGCACGTGACCACCCTCTGCACCATCATATCCAGCCCTGTGCCGGGTCCGCAGCCGAGATTCGGAGGGCGGATCCGGGGGCAGTGGTGACCCACTCCCACGTGACTTTGTTGCTCTGAGACACATGTGGATTATTTCTGTCAAGGGCTGGACGCCGAGTGGGTCACCGAGCTCGGTGTGTTTTCCAGAGCTGGGTGTGGATGGGGCGCGGGGGGACGCACGCACCTGGTTCCCTCAGCCAGCACAACTCTTCCGAGATGCTAACAGATAATCCTCTGCATATCTTCCTTGTTTCCTGCCTTCAGATGGTTCTGGCATTTATGACCCTTGTGAAAAAGAAGCCACTGATGCTATTGGGCATCTAGACAGACAGCAACGGGAAGATATCACACAGAGTGCGCAGGTATAGTCGTCGCCACTGCCGCCGTGAGCCCTTGCCCAGTCTGCACTCACTGGCTGCCAGCTCCTGTCTGGCTGTTCTCAGGGTAGCCCCTGGGCTCGTAGGCTCAGCCGGGGACTGGAGGCGAAGGGATCGTGTCTGATACAGGGAGCCCCAACCTGGCTTCTGTCCCTTGGCGCCACGTGTGGTCGCCGTCTGCCCCTCAGCCTGCTCACGTGCTGTTTTCAGACCCGAGCACGACGGGGCGATGTGTTTGCGACTGGCCCAGGGCTCCTTCCCTGGCAGGCCCACCACCTGGCTCCGTGTGGCAACCAGTCCCCAGGTTGGGGTCTCCTGTATTCCTCTCGAGGGGGGTGGTCACAGGCTGGCCTGCCCCCACAGCAAGGCTGGACCCGAGCAGTCAGGCCCGCCCCTGGCTGTTGGGGGACCCCTTGCTGTTGTGGGGGAGACCATTAGCAGCACCCAGAGCTCCCTCCCCTTCTCAGAAGGCATTAGTGAGCACACACAGCTTAGCCGTGGGCGCAGGGCAGCTGGGTCAGACTCCTCTTCCCCTTCTCCAGCATGCACTGCGGCTTGCAGCGTTTGGCCAGCTCCATAAAGTCCTGGGCATGGACCCCCTGCCTTCCAAATTGCCCAAGAAACCAAAGAACGAAAACCCCGTGGACTACACCGGTAAGCGTGCGGCAGGTGCCAGGAGGCCGGGGCTCGGGGCCCTGCGGTCGCCCGCGTGTCTCAGCGGCTTCTGTCCTGATCTCGTTTCAGTTCAAATCCCCCCCAGCACCACCTACGCCATCACCCCCATGAAGCGCCCAATGGAAGAGGACGGGGAGGAGAAGTCGCCCAGCAAAAAGAAGAAGAAGATTCAGAAGAAAGGTACGGGTGGGGCCGGCTCAGGCTGCGGGGTCCGTGGCCCACTCGGGGCCAGGGTGGACCTTTCCCCTCACTGCCGGATGTCGAGGCGGACGGTGCTGTGCTCCCTTCTGGAGCCTTCAGACAGCCCGCCAGGGGCCTTGGGCTGAGCGCAGGGTGCTGGGCGGCTAGGCAGCGCAGGAGCGCTCGGGAGGGTGCAGGCCCTGGCAGCCGCGCGGCTTCTGCAGCTGTCCACCTTCTGCGGCTGTCCACCTTCTGTGGCCGTCCGCCTGGCACGAGTTAGGGTTCGACCTCAGGCTGGGAGATGCCTGTTTTTCTCTGACGCGCATTGGCTGCAGATTTAAAGCCTTTCAGTGGGGTGTGCGCCCCAGACAGCCAGGCTAGACCTGAAGGCGGCTGGTGCACCCAGTGTGCCTCGCGGGGCCGTGTCGCCGAAGAACGCTAACCTGGAGCCCTCTTGGTGCTCACCCTCCAGAGGAGAAGGCCGAGCCACCGCAGGCCATGAACGCGCTGATGCGGCTGAACCAGCTGAAGCCGGGGCTGCAGTACAAGCTGGTCTCGCAGACCGGCCCCGTGCACGCGCCCATCTTCACCATGTCCGTGGAGGTGGATGGCAATTCCTTTGAGGCCTCGGGGCCGTCCAAGAAGACTGCCAAGCTGCACGTGGCCGTCAAGGTGAGTGCCTGGCATCACGGTCTCCCCTTGGGAAGGGGTGAATCGCACAAGCCCCGAGACTTTTGGGTCTCAGCCTTTGGCACAGCACACGAGGCTGGACTGCCTAGAGAGGGCCCCACGTGTGGCTGGAGACCCACAGGAACGCTCTCCTCAGAGGTCTGGGCTCCACATGGGAGCCTCTGAGTCGTCCTGGGGGAGGGTCTGGCACGGGGGCTGTCGTGGAGACCAGCACGGCGAGCCCTCTCTCACGGGCACCCCGGCTCCTCTGCGTCCACAGGTGTTGCAGGACATGGGCTTGCCCACGGGCACCGAGGGCAGGGACTCCAGCAAGGGGGAGGACTCGGCCGAGGAGACCGAGTCGAAGCCTGCGGTGGTGGCCCCGCCCCCTGTGGTCGAAGCCGTGTCCACCCCCAGCGCTGCCTTCCCCACGGATGCCACGGCCGAGGTGAGGGCTTGGTTACAGCTGGGTACAGGCAGCGGCCCCGCAGCCTGGGAGCCAAGGCAGCTGCGGGGCCTCCATTGTTTTCCACACAAAGTAAATCTTCAGGCCAGGGGAGTTTTCGGGCACCTCAGAGAAGGCCTTAGAGCTGGGGGTTGTCCAGAGCCAGGCGGGGTCTGAGAACCTGCGCTCAGCAGAGGAGGCGGGGGCTGCGCGGGTGGCACTGCAGGCCGTCCTGCCGGCGCGCAGAGACCAGGTGATGGGGGCGCTGGGGGCACGCAGTGGGCGTCCTGGGCCTTGTGTGCCTCTGCGCCCAGCAGGGCTGGAGGGCCCACAGCTGAGTTTGTTGGTTTCCTTTTGTGTTTTCCCTGAGAACGTAAAACAGCAGGGGCCGATCCTGACTAAGCATGGCAAGAACCCAGTCATGGAGCTGAACGAGAAGAGGCGTGGCCTCAAGTACGAGCTCATCTCCGAGACCGGGGGCAGCCACGACAAGCGCTTCGTCATGGAGGTGAGTGACAGGGACAGGCTGACTCCCAGGGAGGCCTGGGCGCCCAGTGAGGGGAGGCACCGCCCCACGCGCCGTGTGTCCTGCCCAGGTGGAGGTGGACGGACAGAAGTTTCAAGGTGCTGGCTCCAACAAAAAGGTGGCAAAGGCCTACGCTGCCCTGGCAGCCCTGGAGAAGCTTTTCCCCGATGCCCCTCTCGCCCTGGAAGCCAACAAGAAGAAGCGAGCCCCGGTCCCTGTCAGAGGCGGGCCGAAGTTTGCTGCCAAGGTGAGCCAGCGCCCTGGAGCCCCGGGCGGCGGAGCGGGTGGCCGGCGCGCATGGGGCGGTGGGGTGACAGCAGCCCGGCTGTGCTCTCTCCTGTCTAGCCGCATAACCCTGGCTTCGGCATGGGAGGCCCCATGCACAACGAGGTGCCCCCGCCCCCCAACCTTCGAGGCCGGGGCCGAGGAGGGAACATCCGCGGGCGAGGGCGAGGCAGAGGCTTTGGCGCCAACCACGGAGGCTACATGAATGCTGGTGAGGACCCTGCCCTGGGCGGTTGCCCGTGCCCAGCTGCATGCGTGCTGGGGCGCGTGTGGCAACGCCCTGTGACCCTGTCGTCTTGTTCTGCAGGCGCCGGGTACGGCAGCTACGGGTACGGAGGCAACTCGGCGACAGCAGGCTACAGTAAGTGTGTGTTTCTCTGTCTCACCTTGGGAAGCAGCTATGCCTAGCTCATGGGACGGAGGTAGAGTGGGTGGCCGCAGGGGGCTGCGCAGCGGCCCGCCCCTGTGGCGGTGATGAGGTGTGAGAGCGTTAGCCCAGCTCGCGTGACGAGGTCCCGTGAGAGCCAGGATTTTACATTTCTCTGCTTTGAGCCATGGAAGCACCAGCCTGCGAATGCGCTTTCCCTGCAGTGCACAGCTCTTGTCTTGAGAAGGAGCCTTCATTGGGGGGTTACAGGAGCAGAGAAATCTAAAACATGCATTTCAGATGTGGCGCTCTGTGCCATTTTTCAAAAGAATTCTAATTTCTTCTCTCTGCTCTGTCTCCCCCTTTTGTAGGTGACTTTTTCACAGACTGCTACGGCTATCATGATTTTGGGTCTTCCTAGAGCGTCTAAAAGTATTGCACACAAAATCAACTTTTTACTCCAATTTCCTCCAACTCCAAACCCACAGTGTCCGTGCCGTGTCCCTGTGCTTCACTGGGTTTCTCAACCGTGCTTTCCACCGCAGCTTGTCTGAGACTCTTACCTGCAGAACTTAAGACAATGGCAGTTCTTATCGTGATTTGCCTTTGAACTTGGTCATATTGAAGTTCACAATAAGTGGAAAACAGTTTTCTCAGAGAATGTATTTTTTGTGCAGAATTGCACAGAATTCTAGAGCCAGCGTTGTTCAGCATCAAGGCAAAAGCCCACCTTTGCTTTTTATGGAAAGCATTACTTTATTTAAAGAGACAGACAATGACACATTTTAATCTACCTTTGTCTTAATTTACAGCAGGTTTTGTATGAATTTTTAACCTTTTAACAAATCCCCAAACCTGGTTGATGCCTTTGACAGTGATGCGAGCGATTCACCACGTCTGAGTCCCAGCAGCCGGCGTTCCTTTTGTTGTGATGAGCATGTACCATGTTGGGGACGCGTGGGGGACTGTACTGTGTGCTGAGTCCCCCGCCTTTTGTAAATGCTCTGGTGGGTTCTTGTCTGGGGATGGGACACTCGTGGCTGGTCAGCTAGAGTGAACTCTCAAAGCTCTCACATCTGTGCTTCCATTACTAGTGCAAGAAACAGGCTCCAAAGGGTAGACAACGTCAGATGTTGCAAGTCCTACTCACAGCTGCAAATGCATGGAATTCTAGATGTCTCTCTCTCTCTCTCTCTTTTTTTTTTTTTTTTTTTAAGCAAGGCTTTAAAATGCCAGCACAGAGCCTGCTGAGTTCTGCGAGGGAGCTGGCCCCCCGCAGGGCCCTGTGCCGGGTGCGCGGCTGCCACCTGCTCCCCCGAGTGCAGAGGCACCTGGAGTGATTCTGGCTCCATGGAGCCCCGTGTTTTCTCGTGGGAACCCTCCTTGGACACGGTGGCTTTGTCTCTGACCAGCAGATGTCTGTGCCACAAATCCCGCCTCTGTGTCGGACTTGCAAGATTGAGCGTTTATTCAGGCAAAAACCGGGCAACATGGTTACTACACGATCTGTTCCCAGAGGTTTGAAACATTCAGTGAAACTTTTTAAAACTTGGATTGCATGATGTATTTTTTTTTAGAAAGTTATTGTTTGAGAATAATGTCTTTTTATACCAGGAAATAGTTATCCTGAATGACGTTGAAAACTTCCCTCCCCTTTATTTTTTTTTAATCAATACATGTTAAAGTAACAAGCCTGGGTACTTGCGTCTTCATTCATTCCTGGCCTCAGGGGCGGGGCGGTGGGCTGCTCAGTGCAGGATGCTGTGCAGGGCGGGGCGTCCTGGGTGGGAGGGGCGTGAAGACCCCATCCTCCCAGTCTCCTCACTGAGCCACCGCATGTTTGCTTTCTTGCCTTGGGGGCCATGTCTCTCCTTGGTGATTGGCCTGGGTCTGGGGGTGGGGGTGGGGGAGGGAAGGGAGCTGCGTGAAGAAAACCAGCTGGAGCTGACCCATGGGATCTGTCGCCCAGCATGGGGCCGAAGGGCAGGCTGTGTGGGAGCCTTCCCGATCTCCCACCCACCCTGGACCTAGCAGGCACCTGTGTGGGGCGCCTGGGCCTGTCTGCCCAGCTCTGCGGGAGAGTGCCCCCAGCCTCCCGCCTCACTGCTGCCCCCGCTGGTGTGACGGTGGGCGTGCAGCCTTCACCCGATCCACCTGAGGCTCTGACAGGGCAGCTCGGGTGCAGCCGGTGACCCAGAGTGGGGCCTGCCGGGACATTCTCCGCTCCTGGGGCCTGCTCAGTCCCCCCTGTGCCCAGCAGCTGTGCTGGGAACGGGAAGGGGCTCCAGGGGCTCACCTGCCTAGCCCAGCCCCGCCAGAGCCAGTCTGCTCCCGAGGCTGTTTGCACAGATAGCACCGGGACTGCTTATCCTTTGTCTGAGTCGGAACCCAGGGCAGCCCCAGGGCAGCCGAAGGTTTCGGAGGCCTCCAGGCTTGTGCCTGCCAAACCTGTTCCCAGCACAGTGGGGGAGGGGCGCTGCTGCTTCTCAGGGGCTTTGCATTTCCTGTCACCTCTGGGGACATCTGGGTAGCCATCGGTCGTCCGTGTCATCTGCTCGGAGCCCATCTCATTGTAATGTTGACATCTGCTGCAAAAGCTGCTGTCGGCCGCTGCTTGGCACAGATCATTGTCATCAGCTGATGGGTGAGTGGAGCCGAGGCTGGGCCGGCCGGGCCAGGCTGTGGCACCAGCGGAGCTGCTGCTCCGCTCTGCTCCTCGTCTCTGCCTCTGGCCAGCGTGCTGCAGAGTGGCCTTCAGGGCCCACGTCCACGGCCTTCCCTCCCGTCCCTCCCCCCTGCCCTGCCTTGTCCTCCACCTGACCCACTGCCTCCCTGTTTAGGTCAATTCTACAGCAACGGAGGGCATTCTGGGAACGCCGGTGGTAGCGGCGGCGGGGGTGGTGGTGGCTCCTCCGGCTACGGCTCCTACTACCAAGGTGACAACTACAACTCACCAGTGCCCCCCAAACACCCTGGGAAGAAGCCGCCGCACGGTGGCCAGCAAAAGCCCTCCTACGGCTCCGGCTACCAGCCCCACCAGGGCCAGCAGCAGTCCTACAACCAGAGCCAGTATGGCAACTACGGGCCCCCGCAGGGCAAGCAGAAAGGCTACAGCCACGGCCAAGGCAACTACCCCTCGTACTCCAACTCCTACAGCTCGCCCGGGGGCGGGGGCGGCTCCGACTACAACTACGAGAGCAAATTCAGTGAGTTGGCGCCCATGCCCCTTAGCTCTGCACGAGCCCTGGCTGGGGACGAGTGGGAGGGCCCACTGCGCGTGGCGCTAGGCAGATGCCCTTGGTCCCAGCTCCCCGAGGCCAGGTGTAGCTGAGGTCTCTTCTGAGGCTGCAGGCTCACCCTTGGGGCCAGCGCCAGAGCCACCATAGTGGCTGCGAAGGCCTAAGCTGCTTCCCTGTCGGCCTCCGTCCCAGCCTGGCGGGGCGGAACAGGTGGGCGTTCTCCATGGAGTAACCCGCAGGGGTCAGGAGGCTGCACGGAGGGCAGAGCGGAAGAGGAGGCCACAGTGGGTGCAGCTGGCCGTGTAGGGCTCGGGTGGAGCGTAGGTAGGAGGGCAGTGCTGCCGTGTGCCGGAGTGAAGCAGACGGGAGACGTGGAGGCCGGGGCCGGCCCTAACTCACGGCGCATTCCTCTCTCCCCAGACTACAGTGGGAGCGGAGGCCGAAGCGGCGGGAACAGCTACGGCTCAGGCGGGTCGTCCTACAACCCAGGCTCACATGGGGGCTACGGCGGAGGTTCTGGGGGAGGCTCCTCCTACCAAGGCAAACAAGGTGGGCCTGGGACAGCAGGGGGCCCTGCAGGTGCTCCGAGGAGCAGGAGCAGAGAGCTTGGGGGCGGGGCCGCCGCTGGGCTCTTTGGGAGAGGCCGAGAGCAGGAGTCGGCGGCTCTAAACCTGTGGCACCCTCTGCAGGACAGGGTAACGGGTGACCTGCAGTGGGGACAGAGGGCTCGGGCGGCCGCTTCTCGGGCGTGGGTGACTCCACGGAGCCCCGTGTTGCCTGGAAGGTCCTTAGCAAAGGCGGCGGGAGCTTCCCAAGACGGCACACGGGCGTCCCTCCTGGGGCCGGCAGCTGCGAGGCCCGGGCCTCACGCCCTTCTCTCTCTCTCAGGCGGATACTCGTCACAGTCCAACTACAACTCCCCCGGGTCCGGCCAGAACTACAGCGGCCCCCCCAGCTCCTACCAGTCCTCACAGGGCGCCTACGGCCGGAACGCCGACCACAGCATGAACTACCAGTACAGATAAAGCCCCGGGCCGCAGAGCCCTGCCTTCTGCACTTCCTCCCCATTGGAAGATTGAGTTTTATGCATCACAGTTAACATGTCAGCCGGCCCCTCCTGGCCCCGCCCCACCCGTCCACGTTGCCGTGCTGTGCGGTGCCGCGGGTCCCCCGAGACCCGCGCCGTGAGCCGTGTTTAGCCGTGTTTGGGACTGCGCGTCTTCAGTGGTTCGTTAGTTGCCATTACAGTCTCGTCCGGTAGAGTTTTTGAGTTCCTGCAGTTTAGTGTCCCTCTGTCTATTGACGATTGGTGTTCGTGTTAACTCGGTTTGTCGTTACATAGTTACGGAAGGGATGCGGCCTCTGTTCATGCTTTTGTGAAGTGAGTTCATGAGCTTTCTGTATTTTAATGCTTTAGTGTTTCAGTTTTATAAGTGAAGATTTTATTTTAAGAACCAGTGGGAAAGAGTGGGGTTTTTGTATGTCTGGATCCTTCAGGCAGGACATCTGAATTAAGCTGAATGTAGACAAATAAAAACGAAGAAAACCGCGCCCGTCACAGGCCTGGCTGTCTGACCCCGCAGGTCGCGAGGGGCAGGTTCCCGGGCCCCAGGGAGAGCGGGTGGGCACGGCAGACGGGCTGTTCCAGGCCTGCGTCGGCTGGTCACCTGGGCCCTGGCCGCAGGGGCGCGGCAGGCAGTGTGCCGTGGCCCTGGCTGCTCCGAGGGCTGGGGCAGAGCTGGGGCACACCGCGTGCTGCTTGGGGGTGTGCTGTCATGGGACAACGTGGCCTCGCTGGGGGCAGCATCCCATCCCGTACGGCCGCTCCACTTCCCATGCAGCCCCTGCCCGTGGGAGAGCAGTGGGAGATGGCCCCGGTGCTTAGATCCCTGCGCCTGCGTGGGAGACCTGGAAGGAGCTCCTGACTTCATCCTGGCCCGGCCACCGCAGTTGCAGCCATTTCGTGAACCAGCAGGTGGAATACCTCTTCTCTGTTTCTCTCTGTAACTCTTTCAAATATTTGAAAAAGGCAGGCGCAGCCCACGGCATCTCCTGGTAGAAGCCATGGATGCAGTGAGCAAGGCACAGTGCAGTCCCTGGGGAGCGCCGTGTCCACAGTGTGGGCCCAGGAGAAGCCCAGCCAAGGCCAAGGGGGGACCACTGGCTGTCAGGAGGAGGCAGCGCCATCTGTGACCGGCATTTGCTCCCCGTGATGCAGGCAGCAGGAAGGTTGGTGCCCGCAACGCGCTGGCTGCAGCCTGCTCTGTGCTGGAACAGGGGAGGCTCCCGGCGGCCAGGGCTCCTCCCCGGGCGAGGCTGAGCTGGGGTGGCGACGTGAGGAGGGACGCTGAAGGCAGCCTGCCACCCTCGGACCCTGCCACACCAGGGAGCCGCTCGTGGAGCAGCACACGCGGAGCGCTGACACACTGGCCCTCCAAGCCGGGAAGCCAGCAAGCCAGCCTGGAGGAGGTCTTCCAAACCGCTGGCAGCAGCTGGCCCCAGACACCATTTCCCGGCTGGTGGTGTTCAGTCGGCAGAGCCTCAGCCAGTTGTTCAGGAGGGAATCTGCGGGTAGACCGTGGGGGTCAGTGCCGGGGGCCTGGGCACCTTCCCCGCCTCCCTGCTGTGGGGCTTGGGTGCTGTGCAGGGAAGGAAGAAACCAGCACGTGGCTGGACAGGAGGGCTTGCAGGGACTGGGACTGGTGAGGGGACAGCTGTGGGCGCAGAGCCTGGCCTGCTTCCTGCCAGGATTCAGCAGCCCTGTCAGTCTTGAGCTGGGGTCCAGACTGGCCCGAGTGTTCTGCCCCGGTGACCGCACGCCGGCCAAGCCCAGCACAGGGCAGCCAGTCACTGGGTCAGATGTACACGTGTGTGGGAATCCACAGAGACACCGTGTGACTGTCAGGAGGTGCTGGGCGCTGGGGACAGACTGAGCTTGGGGCCCAAGGGCTGGCTTCCGGTCACCCAGAAGGTCCTGCCCAGCAAGACCGGGGAGTGGAGGCAGCTGGGGGTGGAGGTGGGCCTCGGAGAGTTCGGGATGCAGAGGGCGGGAAGGGTGTGGGGTTCTTGGTTCATCTGAAGGGCTCTTAGGTAGCCTCTCGTTCACTGCTCAAACAGCCATAGTGGCCCTGGGGCCGGGCCTGGACAAGGCCAGGAGCCGGGAACTCCATGCAGGTCTGTCGCGTGGGTGGCCAGGGCCCAAGCACTTTCGGCTGTTGGGCAGGGGAAGTGCAGGGTGCTGCAGGAAAGGTCCCAGAGAGGGACGCCTTGGCAGCCCCTAGGTTCTTTCCAGGACTTCCTAGCCACGGCCACGACGGTGGCAAGGTCAGGCCCCACAGGCTTCCACCTGAATCCGCACAGCCTGCTGGGTGAGAATGGCAGCGAGACGTCCCTCGCTCCCAGCGGGATGAGCCCGAGGAACGAGCCTCCAGCGCTTCCCCAGGGGTCCCACCTCTCCCTGTCCTGGGTGCCCAGCCTCAACACCTGCTCCCGCAGGCCAACCCTGCGGTCCTCGGTGTGGCGCACCCTCTGGGCCGCCACAGCGTGTGCGGGGAATCTGAGAGCCCCCGGGACCAAAGCCCTGCCCGCACCCACCGCGCCCGGTCCATGCCCAGGGCCACGGTCAGCCCTTTCGGTAGTGTATCCCGACGCCATGCACTGTGGCCTCCCGCTGCAGTTTCCCGCTTGGCCCTGTGGGAGGTGTGTAGGTCCAGGAGTGGGTCAGAACCCCTAGCTTTTCGGATTTTGGACTGAGGGCGTTCCACCTGCCATGTTCTCAGGCCCCGCCCCCTGTGGGAGGGCCCTCCAGGGAAGGCGCCACTGCTTTTAATAGGACACTCTGGGCTGCTCCCCCAGAGGGCGTGGCGGGGACGCCTCAGCTCCTCTGCAGGCCCCACCCCTGTGGGTGGCTCCCCCGCCTCTGCGAAGTCTGGGCCTTTTCTAATTGGGCTGGCTCCGCCCCGGCTGGGTGGCCCTACAGGTACCCCGACGTCTCTAATTGGACGCGCTCTGAAGCCCTGCCCACATTGGGCACACAGAGCGCGCTGCCCGTCGTAGGGCGCGCTGTCCTGCTCCAGCCCCTGGCCAGGCCGGCCTCTTCCCCATGTCCACGCAGCGTCAGCGGCGCTGTCCGCTGTGCTGAATCCTTGCTCCCAGGGGCGGCCGCGGGGCGCCCCTGAGCCCTTCCAGCTGAGTGACGCCAACACCCTGCAGTGAGTGGGCTGAAGCCCTGCTGCGCCCTCCCCGCCCACCGGCTGTCCTGGAGGTGACAGGCCGAGTTCCTTCCCTCCAAATCCCGCAGACAGCCCAGCGACCCCAGCCAGATCCTCTCATGCTGTCGTTCCCCGGCCCGCGTCTTTCCGGCCATCCTGACCTCTCCCAACATCGCACAAGGACTCCTGGCATCCAACTGTCCCCGTGCTGACCACTGCGGCCATGGGGGGAGCGAACCAGTGGATACAAGGTCTCTGTTCCTCTCTCCCTCCCTCTCTCTGTAACTCTGACTTTCAAAGAGAGAGCTTCTGTTGACTGATTTACTCCCCAAAAGGCTGCAACAGCCATGGTTTCCGGTCAGGCCAAAGCCAGGAGCCCAGCACCATGCCTTGGGTTCCTGAGCTCCCACAGATGCCTCCTCCACACCCCCCTCCCCACCCCAAGCCAAAGCCAGGAGCCAGGAGGTCCATCTGGGTCTTCCAGGAGAGTGGCACTGCTTTCCCAGACACGTTAGCAGGATGCTGGGTCTGGTCAGAGGGGCTGTAGCGGCGTCTTCACCCCCAGCCGCCTCCCCTGCCCTGGGACACTGCTTCCTGCCAGAGAGGATGGGTGGCACAAATGCGATAGGTGTTCGACGTGATGAGGAAACATCATGGTTCTCTTTAGATTCTGTACCCAGTGAAGCTATCGTTCAGACAGAAGAGCAAAGTCAATTTATTTTCACGCAAACAAAACCACACAGTGTGTATCAGTATAGGGTTATTACTGAAAGGAGATTCAGAGAGATAGATACCTTGGAGAAATGGGAGCTGACCTGAAGCACAAGCCCGGAGAGACCCAGGCAGAGACGCTGCTGCGTGGGCGGATATGTCCATAACGCGTGGGTCGTGTAACGTGATAATAATGCCACGGGAGCAGCTGGAGCCAGGAGCTTCATACCAATCTCCCGCATGGGTGCCGGGCCCCCCAGCATTCGCGCCATCCTCCACTGCTTTCCACAGGCCATTAGCAGGGAGCTGGATCAGATACAGAGCAGCCGGGACGGGGACTGGTGCCCACATGGGATGCCAGCCCCGCAGGCAACGGCTCTCCCCGCTACACCACAGCGCTGCCCCCACCCCTCCATTGCTGCACGTCCGACCCCCGATCTCATGCGTGATGGCCTCAGTGCTGGGACCCCTGCACACATGTGGGAGACCCAGGTGGCATTGCGGGCTCCTGGCTTTGGCTTGGCCCAGCCCTGGCCCTTGAGGCCATTTGGGGAGTGAACCAGTGGATGGAAGACTATCATCTGTCTTTCCCTCTGTCTCCCCCCACACACAATACTCTACCTTTCAGATAAATAAGTAAATCAGTTTATTTTAATACCTACAATTAATTATCTTTAAAAAATAAAGAAACGCTGGAGTCTGGAGCATGGTGAGGGCTGTGGAGCACCCAGAAGTGGTCTAAGCTGGGATGGGTTTTGACAGCAGAGCTGCTAGGGTTTGCTGACAAGTCAGAGGAGGGTGGGAGTGACCGGGGAGGTCAGAGACAGCCCTGACTTCAGTCTGAGCCGCGAGGAGTGCATGGTGTTACCGTGAAGGAGATGGAGAGGGCTGGGCAGGCCGAGGTGCCATCAGGGGCTCCACCCGGACATGCACGCTTTCTCAGGGCCGGTGTGTGTGTGGGGGGTGTCGAAGAGGCATCTGTGGGAGCTCAGGAGCCCAAGGCACGGTGCTGGGCTCTGTGTGCAGCCCCTGACGCCCTGGGGCCTGGCTGGGAGACTTGGACTTCCAGGCCTCCCATCCTTGAGTGCAATCCACCTCTAGTCTGTCTGTCTGTCTGTCTCTTTTTTATTTATTTGAAAGTCAGAGTTGCACAGAGACAGAGGTAGAGAGAGAGGGCTTCCATCCACTGGTTCGCCTCTCAGATGGCTGCAACAGCCGGAGCTGTGCCGATCCGAAGCCAGGAAACAGGAGCTTCTTCCGGCTCTCCCACACGGGTGCAGGGACTTGGGCCATCCCACACTGCTTTCCCAGGCCACAGCAGAGAGCTGGATGGGAAGAGGAGCAGCTGAGACTTGAACCGACACCCATATGCAATGCTGGCACTGTGGGTGGCAGCTTAACCTGCTACACCACAGCGCCAGCCCCTCTAGTCTTTTCAAAGCAGGGAGCAGGATAAAACTTTGGGGGAGAGCAGGCATTTAGTCGAGTGGTTGTCGCCACAGAAGACGTGGGTTTGATTCCTATCTCGGGCTCCTGGCTCCAGCTGCCTTGCCCACGCCCACCTTGGGAGGCAGTATCCAATGCTAGGGTCCCAGCCACCCACACGAGAGATCTGAAGTGGGTTATTGGCTCCCAGCTTTATCCTGGTCTGGTCCAACGCATTTCAGGCATCTGTGGAGTGAACGAGTGGACGGGACCATTCTCTCTGCCTCTCAAATATTTTTTAAAAACTTTTTGAAACTGCTGTTATATAGAGGGTTTTGAAATTATATAACATCAATCACAAGTGATATGACAGAGCGACAGAGGGTGGGATCTTCCTGTGCGGGGTTGGTTGGGGGTCTGAATCTTTGGAAGTGGGGCCGCCTGTGAGAAAGATGGCCCTCTAGGAGGAATTCAGCAAGGCTGAGTTGCCCACAGATCCACCAGCAAGTGCACAGGCCGCGCGGTGGGGCTCCCTGCGGAACGCGCCCAGGGCCCGAGGTTCCCAGAGGCAGTGCTCTGGGACAATGGCGCTCTCTGCTGGCCTCGACAGATACCAGCCCCACGTCAAAGCAAAACAAACGCACCGATTCTGCATCACAGACTCTCAGCGGAACACAGCCCAAGCTCCACATGGCGTCGTCCCAGGGTTGGCGGGCAGGTGCCCAACGGCGGGCACCGCACGGACGGACGCGCACGCGTGCGCGGGGGCCGGGCCCGCGTCTGGGAGTGCGTCTTCCACGGAAGACACGTGTTTCGTGGGCACTTCCATGCTCGTTCCGACCCCTCGGGAAGACAAAAGCCCGCGTAGAAATCCACGCATCCTCCCCGCTTCTCCTGTTGTCCTGACAACGCCCTGACGCTGCCAGAGCTGGCAGTCGCCCCACGTCCACGGGAGAAAATGACGGCTTTGATGGCAGAGCAGGCAGAGGATTCCGAGGCCACGCCTTGGCGGGCGGCGGGAGGAAGCGACGCGCGGGCCCCCCGCGGCGCCCCCGCGCGTAGGCGTCCGTTGCCATGGTCCCCGGGCGCTCTTCCGGGCCGTCGGCGTGCGTCTCTCGTCACGTGACCCGGACCAAGATGGCGCCGCCTACAGCATCGCAACGCTCACGTGTTTCCGGCCAGGCAACATGGCGGCCGCGGCCAGCCCGGCGTCCCTGGAGTCGGCTCCGCGGATCATGCGGCTGGTGGCCGAGTGCAGCCGCTCCAGGGCGCGGGCGGGCGAGCTGCGGCTGCCGCACGGGACGGTGGCCACTCCCGTGTTCATGCCGGTGGGCACGCAGGCCACTATGAAAGGCATCACCACGGAGCAGCTGGACGCCTTGGGCTGCCGGATCTGCCTGGGCAACACCTACCATCTGGGTCTGCGGCCGGTGGGTGCGCTCGGCCCCAGCGGGGTGGCGGCGGGACGCGGTGGGGTGGGGGGATCCCTCGGGTGGACCCCAGTCCCGGGCTCGCCTCCCGAGGGCGGTCACCCCGCTCACCCCGCACCTGCCACACTGTCCACCCCAGGGCCCCGAGCTGATCCAGAAAGCCCACGGCCTCCACGGCTTCATGAATTGGCCCCACAACCTGCTGACGGTGAGGGGGCGCAGGGGCGCTGGGCTGGGGAGAAGAGCCCCCTCCGCCCCCCGCTCCGTCTGACAGCCCTGCGCGGGCTCCCCCAGGACAGCGGCGGCTTCCAGATGGTGTCCCTGGTGTCCCTGTCCGAGGTGACGGAGGAGGGCGTCCGCTTCCGCTCGCCCTACGACGGCGATGAGACCCTTCTGAGTCCCGAGAGGTCCGTGGAGATCCAGAACGCGCTGGGTGAGGCGACCCCCGGGGAGCCGCTCCTTCCCTCCCTCTGTGGGGCAGGGGGGAGTCCAGGCCCGCCTTCCTCCTCCGGGATGGGTGCAGTGGGGGGTGTCTTCCATCCGCTGCATCACTCTCTAGATCCAGAAGGAAGCAGGGGCGAGGAGCTTCATCCGGGTCTCTTGTGTGGGTGGCAGGGGCCCAGATACTGGGGGGCCATCTTCTGCCGCTTTGCCCAGGTACATTTGCAGGGAGCTGGATCCGAAGTGGAGCGGCTGGGACGCGAACCGGAGCCCGCGTGTGGGCTGCTGGTGTTGCAGGCTGTGGCACAGCATCCCTCCCCCCGCCCCCCGCCCCCCGCCCCCCTTTAGGGTTGTTGACAAGAATGAACGTGGAGCAGCTTGCAAATCCCCCATCCCGTCCCACATCAGAGGGCTTGTGTCCCCGCGGTGGCACGCCGGGGCCGGCGCCCTGCAGATCCGCCCGGTGAGGCAGCAGGGGACGGCCCATGTGGGAGACCCGGATGGAGCTCCTGGCGTCAGCCTGGCCCAGCCCTCGCTTTTGGGGAGTGACCAGCGCTGGTGGAAGATCTTTCTCTCCTGCTGTCTCTCCCTCTGCGCCATTCCACCATTTGAGTAAATAAGTGTGTAAGTCTTGAACAACGACAAGTAAAGAGCGAGCGGGGGAGTGTTCCGAAATCGCTCAGCGCAGTGCTGGCCTGCCGAGGCTGTTATTTATGATCACTGTTGCTATCATTTCTCTAAATCATGAATTAAGGGGCCAGTGCTGTGGCTTAGCCGGTAAAGCTAAGCTGCCATCTTCATAGCCGGCATCCCATATGGGCACCGGTTCGAGTCCTGACTGCTCCACTTCCAGTCCAGCTCTCTGCTGTGGCCTGGGAAAGCAGTAGAAGATGGCCTAAGTGCTTGCGCCCCTGCACCTGCATGGGAGACCAGGAAGAAGCTCCTGGCTCCTGGCTTCAGCCTGACCCAGTGCTGGCCATTGTGGGTATCTGGAGAGTGAACCAGCGAGTGAAAGATCTCTGTCTCTTCTTTTTCCTCTGTAACTCTGCCTTTTGAGTAAATAAAATAATAACTCTTAAAAAAAATAGACTTTGAGATTCAAAATGAAATTGAATGGAAAGTGTAGGGAGTTCCCATAAGCCACTGCTGCCTTCCCATCCCCCACCCCCCACAGCAGAGCACATCCCTGTCAAGGTGGTGCACCTGTCACTGTTGATGAAGTGCCTGTCACTCAGTGTCACCGCACATCCACTAAGTGCATCATGGGGGCAATAAACAGACGAGGGGGTCGGTGCTGTGGTGTAGTGGGCTAAGTCTCCACCTGCAGCACCAGCATCCCATATGGGCGCCGGTTCAGGTCCCGACTGTTCCACTTCTGATCCAGCTCTCTGCTATGGCCTGGGAAAGCAGTAGAAGTTGGCCCAAGTCCTAGGGCTCCTGCACCCACGTGGGAGACCTGGAGGAAGCTCCTGGCTCCTGGCATTGGATCAGCTCAGCTCTGGCCATTGCGGCCATCTGGGGAGTGATCCAGTGGATGAAGACCTCTCTCTCTCTCCCTCTCTCTCTCTCTGTAACTCTGCCTCACAAATAAATAAATAAAATAAAAAAAAAAAAAAAAAACAGTTGAGGGTGTGGACCCACCATTGTAGTTTTGTTGTCCTAGGTCTTAATTTGTTTTATTCTAAAAAGAAAAATTGAAGCAGTTCCAGGTTTTCCTTTTGAAATAAGGATTTTCTGTCTCTCTCTCTCTGTCTCTGTCTCTCTCTGTCTTTGTCTCTCTCTCTCTCTGTCTCTCTTTCATTTTATTTAATGGAAAGGCAGAGAGAGGTCTTCCACCTGCTGGTTCACTCCCCAAATACCCGTAACAGCCAGCGGCGGCCCAGGCTGAGCCCCACCCGGGTCTGCCAGGTAGGTCAAGCGGCCCAAGCACCTGCGCCGTCTTCTGCAGCTTTCCCAGGCACCCTCGCAGGGAGCTGGCTGGGAAGCGGAGCAGCCGGGACTCAAAACTGGCACTCCTATGGGATGCTGCCGGGGGCGTCGCAAGCCCTGGCTTAACCCGCTGCGCCGCCGCACCGGCCCCAGGCCCCCGGCAATGCTTACCAGGCTGAGTCGAGTCCTAAGCGTTCCCTTCCCATCAGTGTAAAGGGGCGTGTGCTGTGGCCCGCTCCACCGTGACGGCTCTGCCCTTGACTGTGGCCGCTGCTGCAGGGGGTGTTCTGGCCTCTGATTGGGTCCCTGTGATGGTGCTCCAATGTGTGTGCCCAGTTCTTTAACTTTTTTTTTATGAAGATTTATTTTTATTTATTTGAAAGGCAGAGTTACGGAGAGAGGTAGAGCCAGAGAGAGAGAGAGGTATTCCAACTACTGGTTCACTCCCCAGATGACCGCAATGGCTAGAGTTGAGCTGACCCGAAGTCAGGACCTAGAAGCTTCTTCTGGGTCTCCCCCGCAGGTGCAGGGGCCCAAGGACTTGGGCCATCTTCCACTGCCTTCCCAGGCCACAGCAGAGAGCGGAAGTTGAGCAGAGAGATACGTTGGAAGTGGAGCAGCCAGGACTCGAACCAGCGCTCATGCGGGATGCTGGTGCCCAGGCCTAGGATTAACCTATGGTGCCACAGCATTGGCCTGCTCTGTGGGTTGGACAAGTGAATGAGGACTATGTCCTTAGCTTTGCTAAAAGCCTTTGATTGTAGCTTTTAAAGATGTATTTATTGGGCTGGCACCATGGCTCACTTGGTTAATCTTCCACCTGCGTCGCCAGCATCCCATATGGGTGCTGGATTCTGTCCCGGTTGCTCCTCTTCCAGGCCAGCTCTCTGCTGTGGCCCGGGAGTGCAGTGGAGGATGGCCCAAGTGCTTGGGCCCTGCACCCCATGGGAGACCAGGAAGAAGCACCTGGCTCCTGGCTTTGGATTGGCGCAGCGCACTGGCCGTAGCGGCCATTTTGGGGGGTGAACCAATGGAAGGAAGACCTTTCTCTCTCTCTCACTGTCTAACTCTGTCAAGTAAATAAATAAAAAAAAAAAAGATTATTTATTAGAAAAACAGAGTATGCTGAGAAAGCCAGGTCTCCATCTGCTTTTTCACGCCCCAGATGGCCAGGACTGGGTGAAGTAGGAGCCAGGAGCTCCATCCGGGTCTCCCATGTGGGCGGCAGGGGCCCCAGCACATGGGCCACCGCTTGCTGCCTCACAGGGGCTGGAACTGGGAGTGGACCCATGCCTCTGATAGGGGATGCAGGTGGCACCTTAACCGCCGTGCCAGACGCCTGCCGCACACAGGCAATTTTACTCTGGGGGCCGCAGGGTCAGAGGCACCGTTTGAAAAGCTCCCTTGGCTGCTGTTGAAACGGACTGAGCGGCCACTGCTGGGAGGGACTTGGAGGGCCCAGCGTGGCCCCAACAAGAGCCAGGGGCCTTCCCAGTGACAGCGTCCTTGTCCTCCCCTCCCCCACCCCGCCCCAGGCTCCGACATCATCATGCAACTGGACGATGTGGTCAGCAGCACTGTGACGGGCCCACGCGTGGAGGAGGCCATGCACAGGTGTGGGCCTGCACACCTCCCTCCCCCCTGCCCCCCGCCAGGCCCGGAGCGCCTATGACAGGGGCCCTCTTGCAGGTCAGTCCGCTGGCTGGACCGGTGCATCGCAGCCCATCGGCGGCCGGACAAGCAGAACCTCTTCGCCATCATCCAGGGCGGCCTGGACGCAAAGCTCCGGGCCACCTGCCTTGAAGGTAGAGCCGTGTGGGCGTGGCCCGCGACAGTGCAGGGCAGTGGCTGTCCCCGGGTGAATGGGCGCTCCGGTGGGAGGCGCTCTGAAATAAAGGTCCAGGAGCAGTAGTGGCCCCCAGGACGAGTGGTTCTGGGGCCACCCCTGGGCACTGTCCACTTCCTGTGGGCTGGGTGGACAAGGTCACAGCTGGGGAAACTGAGGCACGGGACTGTCTCCTCCCTTAGCCCAGGTCCCACAGCTTGGATGAGGCCGAGCTGGGTTCTGAATGTTCCTTAGGCAAACTGACAGAGAGAGCTCTTCCATCCACTGGTCCACTCCCCAGGTGCCCCACAGCCAGCAGAGGGCCAAAGCCAAAGCAGGAGCGGGAACTCCATCCGGGTCTCCCACGTGGGTGCAGGGGCCCAGGCACTTGACCATCTGCCGCTGCCTTACCTGGCACATTAGCAGGCAGCTGGATCGGCAGTGGAGCGAGCAGGACTCAAGCCAGCGCTCCAGCATGGGATCTGCTGTGGCGGGTGGCGGGTTAGCCCGTGCTCCACGATCCGGTCAGTGCTGTTTCCGTCGGCTTCAGTGCCTATCAGGGGGTACGGGCTTTGATCTCGCGGTTACGGTGCCCGCGCCCCATGTGGAAACACCTGCGTTCATTTTCCAGCCGTGGCTCGTAACTGTGGCTTCCTGCTCCTGCAGACCCTGGGAGGCGGGATGGGGTGGCCCAGGGATTCGGTCCCTGCCGACCCCGGGGGCCTAGGGGTGGGCGGACTCTGCCTGCCCTCCAGCTTTGGCCTAGCCCAGTTGCAGCCCTCTCTCTGTCTCGTTTTTCTTCTCAAGTAAATAATTTAACCCAGAGGCCATCCCCAGACAACCAAAGCTTGGTTGACCTTGGCAGCTGGGACCCAAGTTCAAATCCAGGCTTAGCGCATGCGCCACCTGGGGCCCGCGGTTTCCCTCTGTGCTCCTTGGCTTCCTCATCTGTGCGACCAGGTGACAGGGAGAGAGAGAGAGAGAAAGGTGTCCCATCTGCTGGCTTACTCCCTGAATGGGTGCAGCCGCCAGCGGTGGGCAAAGCCAAAGTCGGAGCCATAGCCAGGAGCTCCATCAGGCCCCAGGCTGGCAGGGCCCGAGTCCTGGGCCGTGACCTGCTGCCTTCGCGTGCATCAGCGAGGCGCTGGATTGGAAACGCTGTGTAGCCAGGACCACAGCCTGACTTGGATGGAGGCAGCCCAAGGGGGCGGCCGATCCTCTGCACCGCGATGCCTGCTCCTCTGTCACTGTTTACCTCTTGTCAGAAGTCGTCACGCTGGAGCCGGTGTCAGGGCGCAGCGGGTGAAGCCACTGCCTGCAGCACCGGCATCCCTTGGGGCACTGGTTCGAGTCCCGCTGCTCCACTTCCGGTCCAGCTCCCTGCTGTGGCCTGGGAGAGCGGCAGAGGATGGGCCAAGTGCTGGGGCCCCGCCCCCGCGTGGGAGACCCGGATGGAGCTCCAGTTTCTTAGCTTCGCCTGGCTGAGTCCGGGCTGTTCGGGGCATTTGGATTGGAACCAGTAGATGGAAAATCTTTCTCTTTTATTCCCTCTGTCGCGCTGCCTTTTAAATAAATACATTTTTGTTTTTCAAATGGTCTCAGCCTTCCGGCAGGCCCCTGGGGCAGACAGACCCTGGCTCCCTCTCTCTCTCCCCGCAGGGCTGTGGGGTTCTGGGCTGGGGACGGGACGGGGACACGGACGCGGACGAGGCGCTGGCCCTTGGCCCGGGCAGCCCCTCACTCGCCCCTGTGCCGCAGAGATGACCAAGAGGGACGTCCCCGGCTTCGCCATCGGAGGCCTGAGCGGCGGCGAGAGCAAGGAGCAGTTCTGGCGCATGGTGGAGCTCAGCACCTCGCGGCTGCCCAAGGACAAACCCCGCTACCTGATGGGCGTCGGGTAGGTGGGCAGAGGGCGAGCGCCTGGAGGACGGGCGGGTGGGGGCGGGGCCAGGGAGGGGCGGGGCCCGGCACGCACGCACCCCCCAGGCGGGAAACTCCCCCTCCCAGGCTGCCTCTCCCCCTCCCCCAGCTATGCCACGGATCTCGTGGTCTGCGTGGCTCTTGGATGTGACATGTTCGACTGCGTCTACCCGACCCGGACGGCGGTGAGGCCTGGGGCAGGGGCAGGGGCGTGGCTTAGGGGGCGGGGAGAAGGCCCCTGGGCGCCCCCCACCCCGTGACCCGCCCCGCCCCGCCCTTCTCTGCGCCCAGCGGTTCGGCTCCGCCCTGGTGCCCACGGGGAACGTGCAGTTGAAGAAGAAGCAGTACCAGAAGGACTTCGGCCCCATCGACCCCGACTGCACCTGCCCCACGTGCCAGAGGTCAGCGCTGCCCG